TGTAGTATTTATTATTGACTGAAATACTTTAATCAAGAATAAGCAACACAACTGGTAAATAAGTGAACTTTAATATAATCTATCAGAAATTTTTTTAAAAAAAGCGGCGCATGCGTATTTTGGGCGCCCGTATTTTTTCTAAGTTTTTTGGCGGGAAAATTAATCACATTTGAACGGATGTTACTTACAGAGGTTTTTTAAAAATATGGCTCATGCGTATTTTTGAGCGGGAAAATTTAACAATTTTAAACAGAGTACCAAGGGAATGAAAATTTTTAAAAAGTGGCGTAGCGTATTTTTTGGCAGGAAAATTAACATTGTACAAAAAACTTGAAACTTCGCCTTAAAACTAAAAGCCTTTGTCTTTCGAAACTTAGCAAGCTGAGTCATCTTGTACTTGTAGAAAGCTTCGGAGAATCTTGGTAAAACAACATACATTTGCAAAATGCGTGCTCGTGTCTAATTTTCTTGAAACATTTCTGCGTCAACGAGTCTTCTCTTGATCTTGAAGAACAATAGGATTTCCTCGCTCAACTCGTCTCGGTTGTGGTCACCTTAAAAACAAAAACAAATTGTAAATTCAATTGCACTGAGACTGCTGCTTACAAGTTAAGATTCCATTTAAACGATTGTCATTCTTGACTTGGTGGATACGACGTAGCTTATACTTTATGCTGATTAACATCGATGACTCCACCAAGTCCACTTTAACACTGACTTAAAAATTAACGAAAACACAGAGTAAATTAGACAAACCCCATATCGTTCAGCTTACATACATATCTTTTCCGTTTTCTTTGGGATTCAATGGTTGTAATTTGTTGCCGACGAAGCACGTGAAGCAAAATCATCTTCAACATGTTTTCAAAGAAATTTTTTTTCCAAATGCTCGTGCAAACCTAAATGCAAATTTATTGTATCTGGTTAAAGTACGAGCCAGCTAGTCTTTTTATCCACATAGAAAAGTCAATAACCTGTTTTCCTAAGCTTTTAAACATCACCAAAGAGATCCCCTGCTATTGCTGTCTCAATCCTTTGTTCATCTTAGACAAATTGGCCAATATTCCTTGAATAAGTTATTCCTAAAACAGCATTCTTTTCTATTTTTCTTACTTATGTCAACGATAACAAATCCGACTTGGTAAGAAAAACTAATAGGTTCATCAAATTCCAGACTGAGTTGTACATATCTCCTCAAAAATTTAAAACGCACGTGAAACATCGTGTGCGCACCCCATCCAATCGCATGTACACTTGGTGCAACACTTAGTGGATGCACTTGTAAAAACATCAACGAGCGAATTCCCTTTGGTGACGAGTAAATTAATTACTCTGTCCTAGTCAGTAGAAACGATGTCAATTGCCCAACGTTTAAAGTCGACTTACCTTCAGAACTTCATCGTGAGTAACGTAGACCAATTTCTCCTGTATCCGTTTGGAACAGCTCCACTCCTTTCCAACTGCATCTGGAGAGAAAGGACAAGAATAAAATATGTTGTTAAAATTTTGAATTGCACATATTCTTATAAAATTCTCTCAACCAACTGATGAAAGTGCTGAAGAGTAACACATCACTTATTTGTAAAGAATGAATGAGATAAAAAACAAAGATTTTCGTCTAATCCCACACTATTCTAGAAGTCCCAAAGGCAATCTATCGTTTTCGCTATTGTTTCCTTTATTCAATAACTGTATGCGTAAGGAGATATGGGCCTGTATAGATACCTTGCCCAAAAAAACTACTTGAACAACAAAAGGAACGGGAAAAATTTGATCAAATGTCAAAGACCGAGTAGGGGGGAGTTATGCCTCTCAACTGTCTTATACCTAAGGGGATAGTCAGTCTGAACCGAGTACATGAACTGAGAGGGAACACTAATCTCCTAGTTCTTATTTTGTTCACTGTTTTCTCTCTCTCTCTCTCTCTCGATCGAACAATCGTATACTGAAAGGGATGGCTCCAAATGTCAGGCTCTTGGTCTACAGAGTAACTGCAGGAAAAAAACACGATTAAAATTCACTTGAAATCTTCCATGTGCTCTTTTGCAAAAGAAACGGATGATAAAGTAAACCAATAATTTTAATTCAAATCAAAACAGCCAGCAAAGATTTTATCATAAAATTGTTGCAACAAACCTTCATAAAAACCTCAAGATTACTTAGATTTTTTCTATCTTTTAATGATCAAGTTTTAAAATTTCACCAAAATAACGAGATGTGAGTTCATGTTCCAAAGAACAAGCTGGATGAACAAAATAGAGGGGTTTTTAAAGTCGATGAGAAACTTTTTAAATGACTTATCTGACTATCTTTGTCCCACATATCACTGATTAATACTATGTCTGCGCAAACTTTGCTATAAATACAGGCAAAGAATGGAAATTTATTTAACAAAAATCAAAGACTGGTTCTGTTACAGGGGTCAACGTTGAAATTTGTCAGCATGGGATTCCTGGGCTCCTTCTCCGTAGAACATGAAGCAGAACGATCAAAGGAAACAGACATTATCATATCATATCATATCATAACAACTCTTACCTAGTACATATTCACTTCTGTAGTGTCACGTCTCATGTGTACTGTAAGATGCACGCACTCATCTATGAATCATCCCCATCATTTTCACTCCTTTGCAGAGGAAGGGGGCCATGTCTGTGTGGTTAGAATTACTGTAGCTATGCAGTCATTACTGATCTCCATCTGCCTAGGTTTGGCATCAGAGTTTCCCATCTCCTTGGCGCAGAGGTGCGGCTACAAAACTCACCCTAGGGCCATCGCCCAGAATTCAGCGACATATCCGGGACTTTCATTGAGACGCGGGCGCTAAATTTAAAAGCTAATTAGAAAATGATTGTCAAACAATAAAGGAAAAGGGCTGAAAATGTCGAGGAAGGCTTACGTTCTCTTCGTTTACGGATAAACTACTTTTCAAATGCTACTTTTACCATATGGCTTTTAAAGAAGAAAGTTCAATTGAACAGTGTATCATTCTCACTTTGTTCTTGCGCTTTCAGAAGAGGTCGCAAATTTGCCTTGAAAATTGACAATGTTAGCATCCTGCTTGTATGAGAAGTCGACCTCGGCGCACTTTCAGGCGTAATTTATCTTCACTCAATTGCTAGATTTCTCTTTTACCATACGGTTATTTTTATTTGATATTCTAGAAAGCGTCATAGAAATTTCCAAGGGATTCCAAACTTTGGAAGTAGTCGCAAAACGCGAATTTCGAAAACGTTTGCTCAGCATCGTAGTGTACTATCCAAATTTGTTTTTGGTGACCCCCACGAGAATACAAGTGACCTATTTTAAACTTCCCGCGAGAATATCAAGGAATGCTAAGCTCCGCCTCCGCAAACAATCGCGCACACGCCGCCTAATTAGTATTGAAATTGAGGTGGTAACTAGACAATGCTTAAAAAAATGTAAAAGCTTTTAAGATATGATCGCTGCGATCGCTGCAAAAATATTCAGCAATCGTTACTATCATATGGAAACCACACTCCTATTATTGTCGCAAGATAGACTTTAGTTCTATCTCGACGACGGCAAAGCATAAAAGGCTTGTTTTCATTAGGTTTTCAGGTAAAAAAAAACCCAGACGTAAGGGGATTTCGTAGTTTCCCGAGGGTCTCAAAGCTAATTCAAAATCACAAACAATTTACAATCGCCTCAAAAAATCAGGAAAAAATCCCGTTTTTCATTTTCTTCAATGGTCAGTGACCAAGATATGTAAGTAATTCAGTTTTGACAATCAAGTACGCTAGCCTCTAACAAAACTTTGGTTTGAGGCTGGCGTCCTGATTACGACAGCCTGGGTACGAGCAAAACCGCGCGGAAACTGGGACTTAGGGTACAAAATGAAAATGGTTGACGAACAAGCCCTCCGAAGGAGAAAAAACTGCCAAACGTCGCTGTGTATCCTGTAAGTATATCTGTAAAAACTGCACAGAAAACAGTAAATTTCCTTTTTTATGAACTTCCAACCCACAACCGTCCGCAAATCTATCCAGTATAAGTGCTCGCGCTTTACGAAGATGCATTTTGCGTCATCTTAAAATCTTAAAACAATACACAAGCTGTAAACATTCGCGAGCCAAAAGAACATCATATTTACACGTGTTTTCCAACGAGTGTCTTGTAGAGGAAAATCAACGGTCAAACTGCGTAAGATTTGAGATTGATCGTATTGAGGTAGCAGATAAAATGTTATTGTGTAACGTTTCATTGCTGTTTGTTCATCGGTCACATGTTACGAACGTTTGTGTATTTCTGTAGGTGATTAGTAGCTAGTAGTGAACAATATCTTTCCTTGAATGGGTTAAACAATGTGTGTAATGAAAATCGTTGATCTTACACTTGGGAGCCTGTGTTTGGTTGTTCCATGCGAAATACGAAGGAAACAACAAAGGACACTATCGAGTCTTGATCTCGTGATTGTGAGGTGTTGGCGATGTGGGATCTCCTCCCTCCTCCTGTGTTTCAATGGTTACTTTCATAAAGTTATTTTTGATCACTGTGAACTGGAAGATGGAAGTTTTATCCATGATTTACCTGTAAGATCCCTTTTCAATATGGATTTGTGGTGCAAGACATTTTGATAACCCTTGCAAGACAGTTTCCTCCGTTGATTGGAACAGCTACTAACACACTCTTTAGAGGACGATACATGGTTTTGAACCCAGGATTGTTAGAATACCTCAGCCTCATATGTTAGATGTACATATGTAGACAAAGGTCAAGTTAGTAATGAATGAGTTTCAATCTGCCAATTAAGTTTGATTGTAGAGTTTAAGTTTGCCAGATGCTTGTTTCCTTTAATTACGTAACCAGACTTAAATCTAGACTTGACTTTGAGATAACTTGGCGTCAATCATCAACAACATTCATCTTCATGATTGCCCTCGTCAGAGCAATTCAGAATATGACATTGTAAGATTGTTTTAACCATAACAATTTTAACTTCTTAGTTCAAAGCTTTCAACATACCTTTCAGTTACCAGATGAGTAATTACCAACATAACATCAATGGGCCTCACTTCCCAGCGGGAGCACATGTGGCTCATTACAGTCTAGCAAACACAACTCTGATTGGCCAGGAAGTACAACATCGACTCTGGGAAAAGCACTGGGGAGAGCAGTTTCCAGCCCCACCTCCACTTTACATGTGGTGCCAGCCAGGAATATGTTTACATAGTTACCCATATGGCTTGCCTCCCACCTTCCGTCCTGTTTATGCACAGACTGGCTCTGACCAATCAGAGCATCCAGTGTTGTTGCCAACACCTAGACAGGAAAAGAGCAGTGATGCTCCAGACAAGACTTTTACAGCTAAATCAGACAATTCTTTGGTAGGAACTCTTCAGAAAACTAAAACATTGACAAGAAACACAACGACAACATCCAAGCTAACACAAGTTTTCAATTCTGTGGGCCATAAGGTCAGTGTCCCAATTCTTTCTATGTTCCACGTATTTCTACAAGTCATATCAGGAGAATTTTTTTCCTGACATGTACCTTGTTATCATGAACAAGAATCTGATCAATTTACAAGAATGGTCATATGGCTTAGTTTGTGAAACTTTACTCTGAAGATCACCAGTTGCTTTGCATGAGATACTTGCTCATCACAGTTTAACCACAGCAGTCCATCAGGTTTTTCCCTCTGCTTGATAGTAAGTATCTATTATCTAGATTTACTTTGGGCAAAGAGAGGAGAAATGATATCTCTCCTCAAAACACAATAATGACACCAGCCAGGACTGAACCTTTAACTTCTTGATGTCAACCCCAGATTCCAAGTTACACGATGCCTTCTTGCAAGAGTACAATTTCCCTGTTGTCACTTTTAGGAATCTCAGCACAAATTGATGTCACTGGTTACCCCTTATCTACTTAATGTGATTAACTCTTAGCTTCTCCTGGCAATTCCAATTTGATATCTTGCAAGCTGGTAATGAGAACAAACAAACTTATCTGCTAAAGGGTGTTCTTTGAGATAAGACCAAACTCTCCAGTCTAAGTTAAAAGGAGATGTATGGCAGCCAGAAGGGAGATTTACTGTTTGAATATTGGGAGTTAAAGAACTATGTAAACAATTTCATTTAAAGTCTGTTTGTATGATGATATCATATATGATGTATACTGATATTGTAATTATATTCCTTAATCCAAAATGCAGGCTTTGGACCCAGTGACTGAAGACCTTAACTGGAATATCTTCAGCTCAGATCTGGCAGATGGAATTGTTGTCAGCATATTGGATAGTTTCATCTCTGAGCTTCCTGTGCTTGATATAACCATGGTACAGTCTGTATTGCAGGAAATTGACAAACATTTATCCCAAGATAAAGCTCAAAGTCAGAATAGTTCAATCAAAAAATTGGATTACTTTAACGACATTGAAAGTTTGCCGTGCACACAACAAACTTGCAGTGATGAAATAAGCAGCGAGGAGGCAAGGGGATCAGGTGAAACGACTGGAAATTCAGACAAGTTAGAAAACTGTACAACTCTATCTGAAGCACATAGTTTTTCAAATATCTGTGGAGAGGAAGGTAATTCTTCCCAAGGCTTTCACACGATTGGAAAGACATTCCAGGAGGAAGAAGACAGCTGTTCTGATGTGACCATTGTCAACCCAGACACATCAAACACAAATGAAATTGAAACATTAGGTATTGATAGCAATTTAACAGATGGACAAACAAAGCAGATAGCTAGTGACAATGACTTCAAGGAAGAACAGACTTAGAAATTCTTAAAGCTTAATTTCTTGCAAGTAATCATCATACTGACTGCTAATGAGCAAGACAATGCAATCACATGTAACCATTAAACAGTCCTTACATAAATTCCTGTAAAATAATGAAACTATTTCAAAGTAAGAACTAAATGCAAACAATATTTAGAGATTAGATAAGCTTGATTAAAAGTGATTTTCTGTGATCTCTTATGCACATAGGCACAGTTAAATTAGCCAAATGACAAAAAAATTATCAGAAGTGGTATAAGAACAGGATCATGCCAAAAAATCAATAACGAAATAGTCAAGAATAAAAAAAAACCAAACAAACCAAACTAAAATTAAAAATTAGTTGCATTACAAAGGTGCATTGATATATGCATCAGCCACTTAACTTTGTGAGAAGGTTTTCTCATGTTCATGACAACCCCATGAATGAACAATCTGGAACCATTACACAACTTCAGTTGTTAGATTACTCACCTTGAGTCCCACAGGCTATAAAATCACGGCAAAATAGATCAGCTTTTTTTCACATCACAAGCTTGTAGCATTCAACAAACTTGTAAATCCCCATTTGATTCTATGATGTTGTCTGCTATGGTTTTTGAAACAACAATCACTGTCCTCAACGGCAGTCCATTACCTCAAGTAAATGACTGACTTCAAATCTCATGTTCTGGCAATGACTGCAGTAAGTAATCCTTAAATACAACTATTATTGAGAGTGGAACGTCAGAAAAGATGAGTGCTTGATCGTGTTGTTAGAAAGTAAGCTACCACTTTGCAAACCACCCAGTTCTGACGCATCACTTGTGAAAAAAAAAAGTCTACTACAACTTCACAGTCAAGTTGGGGGGATAACAGCAAATGAGCAACTGTCAGACAATATCTTTTCTCAAAGTCAAACTTGTCACTTTCACAATAGAGCCCTTCCATGGTCTTGTCTTCAGAGCCATTGAGCTTTTCGCCATTGCCACAAATCAACGAACACCAGAGGCTAATCACGTTTCTCAACGCCTTGTTGGTTCGTTAATGCCAAACTAGTATGTGGCTACACCAGTGTGAACTTTTTGTCATTGGAAGGGGTTCAGAGTTAACCTTGGACATACTCAAACCCCTTAAGATGTAAAGCAATTAAATAAATAAGAAAAACAATAAAACTTTACTACTGCCTTTAAGCACTGCATGTTAACTTTATTACAAGATTCTTTAACAAAACCAAAAAACCTATTCTGTACAAAAGCTAAAAAGGATCCTAGGTTACACAATTTAATCATGAGCGAGGTCATTTTATGCCTGTCCTCCTCCTCTTGGAGTCCCGCCCTGCCTGCCACGGGGCATTTGTGTCCCACGACCACGATGAGCACCAGGACCTAATGAATAGGCAAGATGGATATATCAGTATACAAAACCAGAAAGCTGAAGGTCATGGAGGTTCACAATTCAAAAATGGACTAGCACACTAGCATTGACTATTTTTTGTCTCTGTAAGTTTCCATGAGATCTACTGGCATTCCTTTACAGCTTTGAATGCCTTAAGTTTGGGAGCAAAACAAGATCCAAACATCTCACCTCTCACAGGATCCCTTCTTAGACGACGAACTCTTCCTGATGCTGAAGTACCTTCAAATTACATTTACATTTCTTTATTACCCACTTATTGGAATAGTTAACATGATCTTAATAAGGGTAGAAATAGCAATTAGAAATAGCAATAAGACTTCTGTAATTATTATTAGTAATAGGGTGGGAATGAATTGCTGGATGGTGAACTCTAATTTGAGAAAACTCTCATTGAGTAAGAAGGTATAGTATAATCTTTATTTAAGCACGAAACAATTCATCAGCAATTACATTAACTAAAACTATTTAAAAATTAAAACACTAACTAATAACTAAAAGCTGTTTTCCGTGAATGCCGTGCCGGGCCGGTCACTCAGGAATAGACAACAACACAACATGACTTAACTCTATAACTCTCAAGATCTAATACTAAGCAATTCTCCATACTGTCTGCTAGACAATTCTTAGTGACGTGAGTTTGGAGAATTTAGTGTTACATCAACAAACAAGCCCCTAAGTGGTATCTTTCTTTGTTTCCATCACTTATCACTTATCTGTTTGATATTGTATTAACATTGTAAGGAGAAATACTGTCCCATTCACACTTTAGCTTAAACAGGTTTAAAAGTTGTTTTTTTTTAAACATGATTGAATATTTTTTCTTCATAGTAGCTGCTTGAAATGATGTTTGTCAGCTTCAGATGTACCACATTGAGCGTACAAGTTAGCCACTACCTGAATCCTACAGAAAATTAGATTTTTCAGTTCTCTGTTTCTGATTTTCATTCAGTTAAATCTAATTTAACCAAACATGTTTTTTGGTGTGAGTGGGTTACAAGGGTTAAGTAATACAAAAACAATGGAAAACTGCCACAAGTCTCCTACCTCTTTGAGCTTGGGTACCTCCCCTTGTAGTGGACCAAGTAGATGTTGTGGCTGGCCTCCTTAACTGCACAACTGAACCTCTGCCCCTACTTAGATCTGAAAACAAACACAACACTTGATTGTTTACTTCATTCAACATAACACTGATTTTTGAATAACAAACAGTAATTGCTGATAGCAAGACTATACATCCAAATCTGATCTACAGTAACACAGGGCACAAGATCAAGTTTGCTCTCTAGGATGAGCAAGAGAGTTTTGGAACAACTAACTTGAATTTTTAACTTCAGCTCAAAATGAACCCTTGCAAAAAATGCAGACAACATGTGACAAAATGTTTAATTTTGCAGTTTGGCACTTTTAAGTGCAACATTTGTGCTACTTCTTAGACCCTTCATCTCACTTACATCAATCAAGAACAAACTATACCCCTTGTTGCTTCTTACTGTATTTACCTTACCTTGTCTAGCTTTAGCTGCAGATCCCCCTGTTGTTGAGGCAGACTGAGAACTAGTCCTAGAAGGTTCTCCTGCAATAAGAAAATTAAACATGGGATGTAAATGAAAGCTGTGATGGGAAAGGGGGATCCAGTCCTCTGCAGAATTGTCCATAGAAAAAAACTGATTCAATTAAATCAAGTTTAATATATGTAATACTATGATTTCAAGTGCAATTTGGTGTTAATAAGCACTAGTAAAATTTTCAAAGACAACAGAGTTGCATGAGCCTGTAGGACGAGTGCAATTTTAGTGTAGTCTTTGAAAAATTTACAAATGCTCATTTACAACAAATTGCAAGAGAAATAATGTTGTTACTTGTGAATAACTTACATGAAAAAAGCATTACAGGAAGTCAAGATAAACAAAAATGTGATATTGGATGCATGCTATTTGTAATTTGCACTCATATTACAACTTTACACTTGTGAAAAATGCACTCATTTTCACCAAGTTGGATGACCATAATTTTACCGTGTGTGTTACCGTAATTTCCGGTCGTTTACCCGCGGGTAATCTGTTGATTTTGCATTAAACGCGCGCCACTGCGGGTAATAGGGAGGTGCGGGTTATGTGACAATTTTAAATTCTTCTGGAAGTTGAATTGAAAAAATTTCTCATCTACCGTAATTTCCGGTCGTTTACCCGCACTGGCCGATTATTGCATACGGCGAAAAAAAGAGTTGACATATTACCCGCACTGGTGGATAACCCGCATGTTATGTTATTCAATTTTTTGGGTGGTGAAAACGTGACATTAAGGCGATGCATTTCAGTCTTTCAATTCAGACCCGTGCACAATTCTATTTTCTCTTCGGCTGACAATCCACTCCTTCAAGGTGTTTTCCAATGCGGGAAACTTTGCAACACCAGTCCGGCAAGTGCGCAGACGTTTTGGTAGTTTTGCCATGACATCCTTTTTCTTTCGCCAGTAACGGATCATGGATTCATCAATTTCAAATTCTCTTGGTGCTGCTCTATTACCAATTTCACCGGCACGAGCGATTACTCTCAGCTTATACTCAAACGTAAAACTTTGACGTGGGCGTTTCACAGCAGGCATTTTAACTTAATTGGTGACTCGTGGATACACTTATCGCGAATGATAGATATTTATAATTCTTATTCAGTCAATTACCTTTTTATAGCACGTAGGGGCGTAATGAGCTATATCCACTGTTCATTTGTCGTTAAAATACCTTTTCAGCGCGAAATTAGTTAAGTTTCAGACCTATTATTTTCAACATCCTAGAGATGCGTGTGGGATTTAAAACTACTGTCGGCAATTTCTTAAAAAAATCGATATCTCCTGTTCTACTGGGCCTAACAAGTCCCTTAATATGGGAAAATTCACTTTTGAAACCAGTAATTATAAATCTCTATCATTCGCGATAAGAATAACATAACGCGCGGGTTATCCACCAGTGCGGGTAATCTGTCAACTCTTTTTTTCGCCGTATGCAATAATCGGCCAGTGCGGGTAAACGACCGGAAATTACGGTAAAAATGATGAAACTAGCTAGACAAGTGTTATGCCTAAGGTTAGCAAAAGATTTAGTTTTACATTTAACGTCAGGGTTCAGAAATGAATATTTAAAACGTTTTGTGGGAAAATGGCTACCTAGCTGTTCCCTGTTCACTTTCTCAGTAAAATACATCATGCTTTATGATCTAGCAATCTCTACAGTCTGTAAGAATGGCTTGATATTTATCTGAAATTTTAGTTGTCAAAAGGGTTTTTTTCTAGTAATGTATTTTGCTCCATCCCTTACCTGAAATACTTGGCTGGGAAATGTCTTCTGATGCAAATTCTTGTGATTCTTTCATTTCTAACTCACTAGTAAAAATAATAATACTTATCAGCAATTACTGTTCCACTTTGGACATAAAAATAGTTATCTTAAGTTTAAAGTATAAAGGCCAGGCCACTGAAGCCCTGTTTTCAAGTGGAGAGAGATACCCAAGAGTGACAATAGATTTGAAAAATCATCCGTAACTACTACATCCCTCAAGCTACCAACCTTCCTTTTTCTACTGCTTCTTGTTCTTCAGCTTCCTCTCCTTCTTTCAGTGCCTCCACATCTTCCAACAGCTCCACCACTTCTGTGTCAAGAACCTCAGGATGAGCTTGAGAAACAGGAACATTCTGCTCAGATGATTCCTCCGATGCCTCCGTAACAGGTGTGACCATGATGGCAGGGACAGTGGCAATACTGCCAGCTTCTGTCTCACTCTCCAAACTTTCTAATGAGAGCTGCCTTGTGTCTGAGCTAGTGCTTGGGATTCGTTGGTTGGACTGGCTGGCTGTACTTGCTTCCACTGCTTCTGGTAAGCCTGAAATAAAAGCAAGAGTGAACAAAACTATTCTTTTACTAAAATACACATTCAACTTATTCTCATTCACTAAGCCTTCCTTCTTCCTTCTCTAACACCTTTGCTTCTCTTGATCTCTTGATTATTTACTGTTCCAGATCATATTTATAAATCTAACCACTAGCTTTAGCACATTTTTTTAAAAAATTGATAATAGTGAATTTACTAACCGATGTAAGTAAAGACAACTACCTCTAACATATACAAATGTTTGTTTTCATCACCTGATTTTGGAATAAGGTTAAACAAGAGGTTAAATGTCAATCACTTCCAAGACTTTAAGGGTTCATGAAAAGTGAGAGGGCAAAATACCTAACAGCATTTACAAACTCAATGGTCAAAATGCTCTTACATGCATGTCCATGCATTCTTATCTAACTGTGATGGAAAGTGGGCAGAAGTTCAGACAAACATTTTGAATGTAAGATTGAGAGAGGAAAACAATAAAATGACCATGATAATGATGTCCTGGTAGGTAGAGCTCAGCTCTGCTGGAAATAATTATTTGAATACTATAAGGGAGTACAACATGGAATTTTCATTTTATTCCAGCACCCATGATCAGAACTACCCTACTTGCCATATTTACAACTGACTGATCTACCTTTGACATTAATTCTACCTCGTCTTCTTTTTGATTGATTTAGTAACAGAGCAACTTGTATCTTTCTTGCAAATCTATGTCTGACTATCTTCAAAACTGTTTCCTTCTTTTCCTTCCTTAGCATCTTAATGTCTTCCTGACAACTTGTGCAGCTTTTTTTCTCTCTTTTCCTCCTCACTGCCCTACCTGTAGGCACTACAAAGGAAGGTCTCTCATGAGAAGCTTCATCTGAGCCCCCCATAAGGTCCACTTGTGTGTCATCTACACGGAGCCCTTAAAGAAAAGAAGCAAAATTGGATTTGGAAAGACAATATTACAACTTACTTTCTGCAGAAAAAAAAAGAGACAAAAACAAAAAAATTTAAAATGAAAAAACTTGGCAGTCATTTATTGTATGAATCTGTAAAAAACATGTGAATTCAGAGGCTATATGCCCATTTGTGATTCTGTTTCATGCTGGTATCAGTCAGTTACACATTATGACAATGACCACCGTACACAGTTGAGTAGCAGCAGCAAATAAAACAGATTTCAATTCTCCTGTTTCGTTCCATGATTTGCATGGCAGCATAAAAAACCTTTCCTTGTTGTTTTTAGGGCAATAACCAAACTTAGGTTTTAATGTAACATTGCTTTTTAATCTTGCTTTAATCTTCAGTTACCCAAAAGAATGCAAACCACTCACCTTCTTCTGACATGCCAAGTTCCAAAACACCTACAGATGACATAGAGCTCTCTCCAGGTGCAGCAAATGAGAATGATGAACGATTTATTTGTGGAGAGCTAAAGACAGAAAAGGATTTTCTTCAGCTAAAGAAACAGTCACAAAATTTTACAAATCTCCTCTTAACTCATCAGACAAGAGTATTATTTGATGTTAGCACAGACAGATATTCCAGTACTGTAGCAGTTTTTCATTTTTACATCTCTAAGGAACCCCAAAGAAAAGGCTTTGTACTACACAATCTCAAGACATTCCCGTTCTTTCCTTCAAAAAAAATAAATAAAACGCCTCAAACAACTCCTTGCTACTGAACTAATCTGACTGAACATCTTGTTTAGGATTGCCAATACAAATTCATAGCAAGGAAAAATTTCATTTCAAGTGTCCGTATGTTTGTCCAGGAATAGGGGTCCACAGTATAAAGGGCAGCATTGTTGCACACAGTTTTTCTGATTCTCAAAGTTGCTGGTGAACGAGTCGAAAGATTAATTGGTCATATACATTTGCAGATATGGTTACCAAGTGGAATGCAGGTTCTTTGCTTGGTATGACATTACAATACTAAGGGAAGAGGTGTTGCACAAAAACTACTCTGCTCTGACACAGAACTTACCTTATAGCCTCAGCAAAACCATCAGTTCTCTTTGGTACATACAGTGTAGGGGTGCTGGGCACCATACAGTCTTCTTCTTCGTTAAATGGACCTGGAGCTGGTTGGCCCTGAATAACAATAATTATGCAATTTAAGACACAAGTTTAATGGGGGCTTCATTCATTTGTTACCAAGAGAGTTAATTTACTATCATGCCTTCAGTCTACCAAAAATGTCAATGGCCACTCTTAATATTGCAACAATCTAACCAACTGCAAGCAAAGTTCAAAGGACACTCTTTCGCACTTCAGTGGTCTTTTCAGTTCTTAACTCAAGTTCAAGGGACAGAAATGGCATGAAAAAGTTGAAAAAGTTGATATGTAATGCCTCCTACACTGTGCTTCAAAAGTTTGAGAAAATCTTGTATCATCTAAAGATAATTTCATTTGCTTGTCTTCCATTTGCACGCAACTTAATCAATTTTGAGAAAGAGAAATCTGGTATGCACAGAGTTCTTTTAACAGACATTTACAAATGACTTATAACCTTATGCAGCCAGCTACGGTTTTAATGATGCGCTCGTTGCTTCTTGAGCAGTGTCAATCAATACTAGTGTAAGCTTCCAAGTGGGAAAAAAAATTTCATGTCTCACCTGAGGAAATGAAAACGGTGGCAAATGGGACCTAGCAGACAGGAGACGTTGTGTAATTGTGACTGATGTTGTTGGTGTAACAGATCTCTGTGCGCTTTCCAATAACTGACTATCAACAGCAGCTCCTGTTGTAAGCTGCTCTGTTGTGGAAATCTCTCTTTCTACATTTGCGTCAGAAGTCTCAGCTTGTTCAATCTCATTCTGATCCTGTATTTCTTCAGCAACATCTTCTTCTGTTGAAAATGAAATCATCAGTAGTTAGGGAGATAAAACAGACAGTTAAATAGAAACAGACAGACCAAACATCCACAGAATGGGACTATGTTAAGACACATTTTTTTCCCCATGGACCAAAAAACATGCAATAATGAAGTTGCCGAATTGGGGGTGCGTCTTATAGCCGAGTGCGCCTTATAACCGAATAACTACTGTAATGGTAATTGTGAATAACCCAAAAAAACTAACCTCCTACTATCTCTCCAGCATCCTCTTCTCCCATCTGCCTTTCTTCAATTGCTGCTGCTTCCCGAACATTTTCATCCATGTCATCTTCATCATCATCGATCACTTCCACCACCTCTTGCTTTGGATCATCCTCTCCATTTTCGTCCATATCTTCATCATCTTCATCAACAACCTCTCCTTCCATGTACTCTGCTTCTTCATCTTCACCTTCATCATCTTCCTCCATCTCACCCACCTCTCCCTCAGCATAATCCTCGTCCTGCTCAACATAATCTTCATCATCCTCCTCCTCTTCTCCTTCATCAAGGTTCTCTTCCTCAACATCTTCATCTTCATCACTTTCAATCAAAACTACCTCTGGTTCTATGGTTGTAGCTTGAATCACCTCTTGTCTTCCAGAATCTTGTGTCTCCTGGTCTTCTTCCTCCTCACCCTCTTCCCCATCATAACCATCGAAATCAAACTCTTCCTTTCCTTCTTCCTCTTCTTCAAGTTGATCATCACCTGTGCCATCTGCAGCTGTGTCTTCAAATGCTTCTTGTGATGTTCCAACTTCATCTTCCACTTGAAGCTTGAGTTTGAATGTATATCACAATTAATTTATAGTGGTCCACAGCTTTTTAAGGTTACAAGTTGCCTTCAGAGCTCAAATTGTTGTATGTTGGTTTTTCATTATAGAACACAGATAATAGTATAACCAAACAAACAAAACTATTGAAAAAGAAGAATTACTTGCTGCTTCAAATTCTTTAAAATTCAGACAATCATTAAGGTGTTAGGTAACCTTAGGGAACTCTAATATATAATATGCAACCTAAGTTGATTCCCCTGATTGTGGTAACTTTTAAAGAACCTGCACTGCTACCAAAAATAGTTACCAATTAAAAATAGTTAATATCATTGGTAGCAATAGCAGTTTTTGTATGCTACAACACAACTGACAAGAAACTGCTAAATTTAGACTAAGTAGCAAAAAAAACTGTTAAAAGAATAAATAGGATTTCCTACAAAGTTTACCAAGGTAAGAAGAAGAGACATTGTCCAAGTACAAAGGTAGTCATAATTTTGACTGGAATGACTGATTGAATCTACGGCTGACAGCAAAAAACAAATGAGTTTTCAATCCTAAACAAACCTCTACAGTCCTGATTTTCTTCGGCAGAGGTTCATCTTCTGTACTTGTACCTTCCACGACTTCAGTTGCACTTCTGTTACATAGAAAATCACTCATTAAGTGTGAAAATCACCCACTCAGACAATTATTTACTCTTTACACCCTAAAATTGGTATGTAAAATTATTCTCCATACTGTTCTTTAAACATTCTCTAAGAAGCTTATTAGGAGATATTGTTTGACAATCAAGAGCTAATTTAGTTTGTGATCATTTCCTTTATTCTCATGACCTTAATGTTTGATTCAGGGGTGATATTGTTAGGAGAAATTAGATGCTAGTATCTTAGGAGCCAAATGGTTAAGTTTCTTTACTTGGATAGTTCTCTCAACTAACTAATTATAAGTGTCTTACTCATTAAAAGAATAAAAAAAATTATAACACATTAAATACTCATTAAATGGGATTTCTCACTCAGGGTAATTTTGAAGATGTTCAAACAACATTGAGTATGTTGCAATTATACCTGTCAGTAACTTGAGATTCATCTCTCTGTCTCTTTCCTGATACCACAGCTGTAGATGGAGTAGGCTGCAGCTGTTCACTGGCTGTCACCTCAGTGGATGACACCTCAGACTCTCCTCTAAAGAGCAATTTCTCAGATTACAATTTGAATCAGCAATTGAAAAAATGTTTGTAACTAATGTTTATGAATATGACCTACAAAGAACTGGTGGGTGGGGGGGGGATCCAAAAGCTCTTGGATCCAGAAGCAGTGTGATGAAAACAATAATCTTTTTAGGCTGCCAATTTTTGCTAACTCTTGTCCTACACAAATGGACAAACTATTTGGAGTAATTATTAAGCCTTAGAATAACATTCAAAAGAAGTTACAAATGCAAGGCTGACATTAGAACAGAGCAAGTAAAACACCACTAATCTTAACTACATAAATGTAAGGAAAAAAAGATCTAAAATAACAAAACAACTAGTTCTCAATAAATTCAGAAATCATTCCAGTACAAGTAGGGTGTTCAAGGCATTCACTTATTAACCCTTTACACCCTAACATCAGCATGCAAATGCTCTATACTGCTCTTCAAACATTTCCTATGGCACTGACACTCAGTTCTCATGAGCCTAGTGTTTGATTCAGCAATGATACCTTAGTGAGAAAATAGATGCTATATTTAATCACCCTCAGAGTTCAAAGGGTCAAACAGCAGTATAAGCAAGCATTTATTCAATGCCCCCCTCTCCCCCTTGCCTCATTTAAAAACATTCTACAGGTCCTATCACACCACTGTTTTCTAACTGAACACCACTTACTGAGAAGGCTGTTGCTGCTGCACTTCTACAGTACTGGTGATTGGACGAACGGACACTGTGGTTGGTACAGAGGTTGACACACTGCTTGCTGTAGAAATTGCCGTTCCTGTCACCCTTATGGTTCCAGCAACACTTACAGCCTCTGAGGGGGTGGAAGTGACTGTTGGTAAGACAGTTGCAGTGGGGGTGGGTGTGCTTTGTGTTGGTGCAACTGCTATAGGCCGCACACTAGCTTTAGGTCCAGAGCGTTTAATTGTTGTGGGGGTGGTGGTTGGTTTTATTGTTGCTGTTGGTGGCACTAGAGATATTGGTGGTGCTGATGTAACAGTGATACTTGACGGTGTTTCTGCTGTAAAAAAACAATGAAATAGAGTTTCACTATCAAGCTTTGAATCTTTAACAACTCTGCTGTCAATTCAATGTTAATACTTCTTCATGAGAAGGCATCAGGGTTGTCAGATTAAGAGTTGCAGGAATTAAGACACAAGAACCAATGCCAAAGAATGGCTCACTATTTCTTTCAACAAGGAGTTTATCTGATCAATTAAGAGCTGCAAGAATGTAATTATTATCAAGTGTGGGTCTCTGAAGCACTGAAAACGGATATAATTGCCTCATTTAGGAACTAACAGAGATTACCCATGGACACTATGTTGGATTACTATCTACCACTTTGCATCCTAACACTGGTATACATATTTTCCATACTGTTCTTTAACCATATCCTATGGAAGGGAATTTGTTAAACAATAAAGAGTTTCTTTTAATTTAGGGGTGATACTGTAGGAGAAATAAGATGCCAGTCACTCTTAGCTGTTAGATGGTGCAAAGACTACTCTAAATGATCCTTTCAGGCTGCTACTGACAAAGGCCTAACACTCAAAATGACAGCCTTTTAACTCTTTACGGTGGCTAATTAACATTTTTAACTCAGTTGATAATACTAAACTACCCTGTCATACTCTCCCAGTGACACAGCACTACAGTATCTTTAGAAACTTACCCCCTTTAAGCCACTGTGTTGGTTCCGAATAAAGTAAATGTGTGTTGATAAAATAGAAATTACCTTACGGAAACTGAACTAACCTTGAGTTGTTGTAGTCTCTGCTCCAGTAACTTCTCCTGAGGATGGTCTTGAAATGGAACTTGATGTATTGACTGCAAAAGACTTTATTTTCATCTGCTGTTTCTGTATCAGTGCTTGATATTGTTGCAGCTTCTGTTGAAGTTTTTCCACATCACTGTCGCAGTACAACCAAGAAAAGAATTGACATGTTAAAATATACTTTTCACTTCATTATTCACAGATTCAACAAATAATGGATCATTTTCTGTGTTCAAGCAGCAATTAAGCCCTTTTCAACTGCATTATCATCATTAACATTTTACAGGCCTGAGGGTAACAGAGTTAACCAACAACGATTTAGTCGTCAGTATATTAGTATCATGGAAAATACTTTGATATCACAGACTGTTACAATAGGGTTCTATGCTTAACTATATTCAAAGCAACCAAAAGGCAACCTAAAATTATGACATGATTGTCAGTAAGAAAATGCTGTCCACAAAAAAGGGAAAACCTTAAGGCAACATAATAGCAGAATTTAGAAAACTGCAACTTACACTTTTTCTTTCTGCCTGTACTCCTCTATTTGTTTCTTCATTTCTTCAACTGCCTTCTCCTTTGTGTCATTAGCTGTTTTATAATCTTGTAGCTCTTTCTCCAACCTTGTTACTTTCCCTTCACATTGTGAGTTCAAGACTTTCATTCTCATCTCAAATTCAGTCAATTGCTGGGTTACTGCCTCCTTCTCATCACTCAGTGACTTGTGTTTCTTCTTAAATTCTTCATTTTCTGCACTCAGTCTGTCCTTAGTAGCTGATGACAATCAGAAAGAAATTGCAAGATAAATATACATGTTTCAACAACTCCTAAATACCCATCTAGAAGCCACAGGAGAACATTTATATTGAGTTGCTGTTTCCAGTATGTTCTATACGCCTTCAAAGTACACTAATGTTTCTTTCTTGGTTGCCTGTTTATGTGGATCATTTCAGTTTACCAATCATGAAATATGCAGCTTAATAAATATCCAACACTACTCACCTCCACTTAAACTACTTATCAAAATGACTTTAATTAAATGGCTGCATCTGCTCAATTAAATGACTGCATCTTTTTTTTTTTTTTTTTAACAGAGGTTGGAAATAATCTTATTTAATCATTCTCCTTCTACATTAATTACTTCTTAATGAAAACCTTGACATTGCTTCAAACTCATTCCTTACCTGAAAGCTGCTGCAGCCTTTCTCTGGCTTGTATTAGCACTTTCCTGTTCTTATCCTCTTTCTCCTTCAGGGATGTCTACAATAAGTATGGAAAATGAGGCAGCATTAGTCTCTTGTTGGTTTGGTTTTATCATGAACTTAACTGTTCAAAGTAGTCTTATCCAAACTGCTGTGCTCTACAGACTTCATTCATTAACCTCAAACTGCCTTAAGTGACCAAAATAACATTTCCTCTTTTCAACATCAATAAAAAATTGAATAGACTAGCAATGGGAATAAAGAAAAATATCAATAAGGGACTACAGGTTGATCCAATACCAAATCTCCATAATAACATCATAATTGTACTGAAAATAGTAAAGAGAATTATTTATGAGATCTTGGGAGTAAATGGATGCTACAATAATTCTTATTTACATTGTGCTGAGATGAAAGGCTATTTGAAAATTTTGCAATCATGTTTCAAATTTTCACACATCTCTTTTACCATTTTGAAGTAGTGAGTCAAAACTAATATTCTCCACACTGTTCTCTCTATACTTTCTAGGGTAAAAATGAGGAGAATCTGTTTGACAATCAGGAGCTTCCTGAATTGATGATCACTCCCATTACTCTCATGACCTTTAAAATTGATTCGAGAGTGATGATGTAGAGAGAAATTAGATTCCAGTCACTTTCAAGAGTTTACTAACCTTATTCTGCTCATCCAACTCTTTCAGCTTTTTGACCTCATCCATTGCAGTCTTCAACTGTTCTGTTAACTCTTTCACCTTGTTCTCTTCTGATGCCAGATCAGCAGTACCACTAGATGCATCACCTGGTGATACTCCTTCTGCTGTGGCCTGCCCAGAGTCTTCCAATTTCTTTTTCAGTTCCTCCATTTCTTTAGTTTGTTCCTCATGTTGAGTCTTGTAATGACGAGCTATCTTTTTAAGTTTTTTTACTTCCTCATCAAAGTTCTTTACCTGTTCTGTTAGCTCTTTGATCTTGTTCTCCTGTGCAGCAACATCAACATTTTCTGCAGCTGTCACCCCAGAAGATGCAGCTTCTGCTGTTCCGTTAGCTGTGGACTGCCCAGCCTCATTGGTCTTTTTCTTGAGCTCTTCCATCTCCTTTGTTTGCTCATCAACTTGGGTCTTGTAACGACGAGCTATTCGTTTCACCTTTAGCAACCAAACATAATCCATCAGGATAAAAAATTTTCAGATACAAATGTCCTGTCACCTCTCACATATTTGATTGCATCAATCCTTTATACCATTTGCTAATAGGCTGATCAATTCAACGCTTCAACATCCCCCTCCTCATGGAGTCCACAAGCCCTGGAGGTGAGGAATTTGAAACTTGCCTAGGCGGGGTGGGGAATTTGAAGGGCTTACAAAAACAATTTCAAATTCAAGGATACTGAGATACTGCCATCCAATGCTCTACCATGGAACTACAAAAGGTTTCCATGGTGCTCTAGCCCATAATCTAAGCTCACAAGTGATCAAATGTGTTTGGGCAAATTCTAACCTGCAGCAGGGTTGCATTCTTTTCATTGACTTCTTTTGTCTTGGCTTCTACAGATGCCTTTAGGGATTCTACTTCCTGCTGCATTTTAGATAGTTCTTTCTGATGTTCTTCTTTCAAACTTCCCAGCTGATCAGTTGATTTTTGTGACATTGCCTGAAATAGTATTTCTAACAATGAGCATTGCACATATGTGAAGATAACAATAAACTGAAACAGACTAATCTGAACTTATCTCCTGACCAAAACATATGGGACAATCCCTTCTTGCCTTTCCAACTATTCCTTTTTTTTTTATCAACATGAAACTTCTCCCTATAATATCCTTACATAATCCAGCAAACAGCTAATGAGGATATTCAAACTTATCAGGTAGAAGGTTTCCTCTTGATCTAACACTAAATTCTTATAACTAATTTAAAAATATGTAGCAGCTAGAGGGGAGAATTACCAATCAGATCTTGGAAGTTAAAGGGTTAAACAAAAGAAAACTTAGGTGAAATTATTCTTCATTAGATCCAGAGTTAAGTTTGTGATTTACTTCAATCTGTTGTCTTGTTTACCCAAAAAAATTATTTGAACTAATCTAGTAAGGATTGTGAATTTTGAAATACTTGACTACATCTCCTGTTTCCCTTTACAATTCTTTCATGCTCTAGCCGCATCTAGTGCCTTTCACAACAGAATGGAGCAAAGTCAAGGCTTCCCTATTTGTTAACTATATGTCATGGCTACAGAATCAATATGTTTTGGTCTGAACAGGGCACAACAATCCAATTGCTTTTAAATTAAGACATTAGCTCTTACCTCTACTTGGTAATTCTACCCTCTAGCTTATACACATTTTGTTGTAAATCAGTTAAGAGAATTAGGGGTTACATCAAGATAACAACTCCTATGCTATAAGTTTGAGTATTCTCATTATCTGCTTCCTGGATATTGTATGGATATCATAGGAAGGAGTTACATGCTGATCAATTTTGTGAGTTAAAGAGTTAAACTAGAGACTGATTGATTGTCAATTCTCCCCTCCAGCTGATACATATTTCCTTGTAAATTAGTTACAAGAATTTGGTGTTACATCAAGATGACAACTTCTACCCAAAAAGTTGGAGTATTCTCATCACCTGTTTCCTGGATAACGTATGAATATAATAGGGAGAAGTTGCATGCTAATCACTTTTGGGAGTTTGAGGATTTAAACCATAAATGATCCCATGATACCGACAGATACCATACTTGGCACTGATAGTACAGAAAGTGGAACTTTACCCTTAATCCTGCTAACTCTCCTTGTGTTTTTGACAAGTCAGATTTCAAGGATTCTGTCTGAGTTTTTATTCTTTGATTATCAGCTTTCAGGCTGGATATCTGCTGCTGAAACTGTTTCTTTTCCTCTTTAATTCTCTTATACTCATCAACATCAACATCCTTGTACTGTTCTGTCAACTGTTTGATCTTTGCTGTCCAGCGCACAATCTGTTAAACAAAGTGTTGATGTTTGTTTTGCCCCATTTTTCATATAACAATCAGAAAATTCTTTTCAGAAAAAATCTTTTTTTTAGTCTAAAACCTTTACTTATTCCTACTACATGGAACAATTTTGCTTTTGCCAATTACGCCATTTAAATTTTTTTTCAACAGTTATTTCAAGAACTCCTTCCAAGTATTCAAGGCACTGTTGTATGACTTCTTTTATTATTTAATAGATAATATGTACTTATTGACTGAGTGGGAGGGCCAGATGGGAAAATATTTGCTTTGAGGAAATGATGAGTAGATTGAGTGCAGCATTGTCCATGCATCAGGACTAGGATCCAGATATCTTCCTGTCTGGCATGATATAACTTATTCAATAAGCCATTTGTCACCCAATCTTTGGTCTTCCTTTTCCTTCCTTGCTTCCTTCAGCTCACAGCTCGCAGGACTGTACAGGTTTGTACTGCCCTGCTTACAGCAGTGCAAAGGCCCTTACACAGGGATTTTTGTCTAATGTTTTTCAATAAAAGCCTGTCCAGGGCCTTATGGGTTATGGTGTAACAAAATTTTGTATGATACCCACACAAGAAGACATCTGAAGGAAAAGATGTTTGTTCATTGCAGTAAAAATCATTAAGTAAATACTTCAACAATTTTCTCAAGATTTAGAGTCATCACAATCAACAGAAGAGTCAAGCTATCAACTGAGAATTGCAAGCTCTCCATGGCTGTAATGCCTGGCATCTCTCTCAATTTTGTTGATAATGACATTCCTTTGAAAATGTTCTTATCTCAGTTTCAAAGGGATTGATGAGCTAGACTTGCCTCATTTTTAAGAGCTGTTTTCTCGGCCAACAAAGCATCTTTCTGTGATGTAAGTGACTGCACACCATCCTTCAGAGGTTTCATCTCCCCCTCCAGTCCTTTGATCTGGGCAAAAACCATAATAACATCAGGATCAGTTTAACAAATGGACCAAAATTTTCCATTGTCCATAACCTCAATGATCATAGAAATAACTTCAACAATGTTCAAAACTTATTAAGTGAAATCACAAGGCGCAACCAAGTGGTTTCACTGCAAAGAGAATTAAAATAAAACAAACCTTTTCTGCAAGCTCTTTTACTGTCTTTTCAGCTGTCTCTTTTTCATTTGTCAGTACTTTATTGCTCTCAATAACTTCATTCAGTCGCTCCACTTTCTCCATGATCTCTGCATGCTGAGCTGCAGTCTGAGTGTTGATCTCTGACTGTGTTCTTTCCTCAGTCATGTTCTTCTGCAGATCTGCCACTTGTGCCTCTAAGTATTCACAGCGTTGCTGGTAGCGAATACTTTCAGACTGAGATAGTTCACACTTGGTCTCAGAGATCTCCTTTTCCCGACGAACAAATCTTTAAACCAACAAAAAGTAGTTATTCAGTATTACCAACTGAGTTGATAACACAAATTGGCCACTGTTAAGAGTTTAAAGCTGACATTTTGAGCATTAGCTCTTCATCAGAGCGATTGGAGGAATTGTAAGTTGTGTATGCAGAAAATGGAGCTACCCTATAGGTGGGAATATGATGATGAGAAAAGAAGATAAATAACTTGAATGAAAGTAGTGATTAGTCACATTAGGCAAACCCGAAACTAACAGGGTGTTCTTTTGAAAATCTCCACAACAAACAACAAGGGTTTTTTTTCAGTCTGAACCCTCCTACCCCTACCCTAACCCAACAACAGTCAATTGATAAAAATTGGTTAATGTTAGATTAGGGGAGGGGTGGGTTCACAGTAAGCTTCATATTTTTCTCTACAGAAACTGACCTTTGAAAAGCCATGAAAAAAAATTTAAAACACTTTTCTTCAATACCTACATGTATGGATGACAAATTGGTTATAAAAAAGAGTAATAGTAAACAAACCTGATGATTTCCCAGAGTTCTTCAATACTTTTGTTAGTCTCTTCCCCTCCGTCTGCTGCCACACCCTCTTGGGGTGTCACAGGGATGTTCAACGCCATCTGTTTACTACCAGCAAGTTGGGAACTGAGCTAAAGGATGGATTGAGAATCAATTTAAAATATAGTTAATAAGCAAAAAAATATATATGTAGAATGCCAGTGTTTCTGTCTCTTTATCATCTTTTTGATATTGATAATCTTGGGTTACCTGATACAAAATTAGTCAGCTGCTGTGACAATGCAATTTGAACATGAGTTAGTGGAAAAATAGAATCAATACAAACTTTTTCTAGCTGGCCATGAAGCATAGAGTTCTGATTCACAAGGTCAGCACAGCGAGCCTCTAGTTTTTTGGCTTCTGAAGCTTTTGCCTTTTTCTGATCCTCCCAAGACTTGGCATATTCCTCTAATTTCTGCTCTGCTGCAAGGGCACGGTCCTCTACTTCTTTAAATTTACTACTCTGTTCTTGAAGCTGGAGAAAAAATAATTAAAAAAGTTACTCACAATATCACCAGAGTGAAAGCAGTTGATAATTTATGCCATCTCTTTCCTAAAAGGTGCAAAGATACATAGTTTAATGAGCAATAATACAAGACTCTTGTCCAACCAGTTGAACACAGTTGTATTTGTAAATAGGTGTTAAAAAGCAAATGTTAACAGGACCTTCAAGATGCAAGCATGATAATGATAGTTTTCTTATAGCTCAACATTATGACATTAATGACTGACTTTAATTTACAGTACCTGTTCTTTAGCTGTGGACAAAGCTTGAACATCATTAGCATGGAGGACAAGTTCTCTCTCATACTTATCTTGAGCCTACAGAAGTAATAAAAAAGTGTATTAAATACTATTTTGGTTCTGAGCAATTGCATAGTCCTTGCAAGCATTGTAGGCTTAGTACAAATTAAAGGGGTTTAACCCTTTTACTCCAAAGATCTCATTTTGTTTAGTACTTCTTGTTACTGTCTGCCATACAATTCTAACAATTTGTTGGTTTGGAGAATTCAGTGTTGGATCAACTAATGAACCCCTGATTGATATTTATCTTTATTCTCATTGCTTGTCTGCTTGATACTGTATTAATATTGTAAGGAGAAATTCTGTCTTCTCACTCACTGGAGTTAAGCAGTTAAGGTGGCTATCAACTCAAACATAAAAGTTTCATATTGGTAACTGTACTGAAGACTCTAGTCTTGTCTTTTTTTAAAGTTGTCATTTGGGCATCTCAAATTATACAGTGGTTATCAGACATTTTAGCTAACAGAAAAAAATTCAAAGAAAACCACAAGTGTACATTTGTGTTATTCTCCCCCCCCCTCTAAAAAAAATTCTTTCAAAGTATTTCAGATAATTCAACTTGTATTGCATGTGAATGCTGCTACATGTAAGACATTTGGGTAAGGATAAATGTTTGAGTAATCTGACTTAATGTGTGACTGTGGAGAACCAAAAATTGGGAAATCATTAAAAATTAATTTCTGTTTAACATTACCTCTGCAGCCAACATAGCCTGTTCCTTCAGTTCCTCTTTGGCCGTCATCTCAGCAGCAGTAGATGTCTGCGCCTTCTTTAAAGCTTCATCCAGCTCCCCCCTAACCTTACTCAACACGTCTCGTAAACTCTTGGTTTGTGACTCTGCTTCTCTGGTTAATTTGGCTCTTGCTGCACTGAGATCTTGGTTTGAGGCTTGAAGAGTGGCCATCTGAGATTTGTACTGGGCAATTTCTTGCTCTGCTGTCTTGAGTTTACCCTCAGTAGATCGTTTAAATTCATCACTTGCCTAAAAATTTGAAGAAAAGCTTTGCTATTTAGCCTGGATTCCATGTGATTACTACTAAAAGTATAATTCTCCAGATTCACTTCCAAGATCTCCTTAGTATATCTCCTTACTGTCTGCCAAACAGTTGTTATGATGTTAGTTCTGAGAATTTGGTATTTGATTACCAATAATCCCCTTGTTGATATTTTTTTTATTCTTGTCACTTGTCTGCTTAATAATATTGTTTTGTAAGGATAAATTCTGTCTAGGTCACTCATGGGAGTTAAAGGGCTTAAATGGGGTCTGAATTACCAAGTCAACTGTGGCTCTAAATTGCAGTGTATCTCTACAATTAAATGTTTACAAAGAACTGAGACAGCTGATGGCAGACTGAATTCAGTCTGAAGTCTGAAGTCTGAAGTCTTAAGACTTAAAAACAATAGTTCTGTATTCCACACTAACTTACCTTGTTCAAGTCACCAAGGGCTGATTCATTGGCTTCTGACATGGATCTAAATTGTTCAACATGTTTTTTGGCTTGGTCCAATTGTTCCTCAAGGCCTGTACAAACCAACAGACAAGTTCACCACAATATTACTAAACTCAGCATATAAAACAAAGTATATAAGTTCACCGAAGAAAAGAGGTATGAGAATTTCCCTTTCAGACACCTACTTGTCCCTGCTCATTTGCCAATTGGAAGCCGAGATGCATTTCAGACAGGTTTCAAAGTTTCAGATGTCTTTGCTGTGAATTGAAGAATGATTCCAAAGAGAACATTGTCAGAGCTCACCTTTCATTTTCACCTCTGCAGTGCTTAATTTCAACTCAAATTCCTGAATCTTGATGGTGTACTGTTCTTCAACTTCTTTTCTGATCCTCTCTTCATCGGCTAAGAGAAGTTAAGTAACATCATAACACATCTGATTACGTTAATTGAGGAATTTGGATCATAAAAATATACTTTCCAATGACTATTTTAAAAACAAATTAAACTGGAAACAAGTATGCTGTTCTAAATTAGACAAAATCACTGAAAACTTTGAAATACATAATTCAAAATCTTGGAGTGTGAAACACCTTTCACTGGACAAAAAAAAAGGCATTTATTTCCATATTTCATGATTCAAGAACAGAAAAAATAGCTTGAAGCGCATTCATGGCAGACATTTTCCACAGATATGGCTCAGAATTGTCCATGGAAAGTCACCAAAAGTGTTCACATTTAGTTGGTTCTGTCCACAACAAAAAGGCTCCAGTCACCATACAGGTGGTGAATTGTAAGCTTCCAACACTTTTAATAAGGCATCTACATACATTTGGCCAAAAAAGAGACTGAAATGAAACACTCACCTTCTTGGAGAGAACTCGTATCTTTTCCTAAAATGTCAGCTATTCGTCTTTCAGCAGCTTGCAGTTGGGCTTCAGCTTGAGTACACTGTGTGAAAAAAAACAAAATGATTGACATATTTGGGTTGTCAAAAGGAAAATTTATAGCATTAGTGAAACATCCTGTTTGTTGTGTTTTGGTCACCTTATTATTATTAATATCAACCATTCCTATGAGCCACAACAGAAGCTTAAAGCGGAAACCTTCACAAGCTTCTGGCCACAAATAATATCAACATCCATTCCAACTTTAAGTTTTTGTAAGGCTTCAAAAGCCTTCAAGTCTCTATGTTTGTTCAAGTAATACATTTGACTGTATACCAGCAAATCAAGCTAATAGCCACTGATCAGATCCTCATTTTAAGAGCTGCAGTACAAACATTTCTTTGCCTGCAAGAGGGTTTGAGCAAAGCAAGCCAGCCTGAGGTCTACACTTAGTCTAACAGACACGTCACAGATCTCTTGCCCACTGGCTTTGTCCAACGCCTCGAACTTTCTCACTGGTGAAGAAAAGCTGGTGCCACAGCCCTTAATTAATGGTGAGGGCTTCCTCCCAGGCTGGTCATACTTTAGTCCTTGTTACACTGGGTTTCACTGCACTGAACTTTAAAAAGTCAACAGCACTTACTCTGAGCTGCACTGAGTCAACATCCCTGGTTGAAGTTAGCAGCTGTTCCCTTGCTTGCTGGTGAGTTTTTATCTCTGCATTCAGTTGTGATTGTAGTTCTTGAACACGGTTCTGTTTTTTTAAACAAATTTTTTTTCCCATTTTCTGCATAAGTAATGTATCTCATAGAAGACAATATTTATTTCAACTTTCCAAACTTTACATTTTACATTGGCTGGGTTAACAAAAGCAGAACTCATCAAGTATCCTCAATTATTAAAGCTGGATTGACAAGTTAAAGTTAAAGTTACTGTCAGTTAACAAAATCTGGTAAAAAATTTTTTTTTTTGGCTCTTTAGTGAGAGAAAGCAATTAACTTTAATTTGCCAGAAAAATTGTAAAACCCTAATAAGAATGCAAGATACAGATGAAAGAATGTTTTAGGGAACCTGTACCAAAGAGTAAAAGGTGTCATAATCCTAAAGGCCTCCAGCAAAGTGAGGACCTTAATTTTCTGCCAACTTTTGTGCAGGATCTGTATATTTTGTTTACATTGCACAACAAAGAGAATTGTTGGCACATTTTGCACAACATTGACAAATAAGAGTCCAAAATGAGAAAAGTTGTCAGAGAGTAAATAAGAAAGTACGAAAACAATAGCAATAGCCATTTCTCACCTGCCAGGTATCAATGACACTCTTGTGATGCTTGTCTTCAGATTCCAGCTTCCTCTTCAGTAGATTTACTTCACGCTGTAAGGTCTCAACTTGAGAACCAAGTCTTGTTCTTGCCTCAAACTCAGACCTCTCTAAGTTATTCTATAATGAAGAGTATTCAGGTGAAATCATTGGGTGGGGAGTTCCCAATGATTTGACATACTCATGGTAATGTGGTATCATCAACTGAGTGATAACATAAATTGGCCACCATAAAGAGTTTTAAACCTAAAGGTTTGAGCATTAGCCCCTCATCAGAGTAGATGACTCATTTGATTAAACCACATTACCCTGTTATACTTGCCCACTCATGAAGCACCAAAGTTTCTTTAGAAAGTAACCCCCTTTGACATACTCATGGCCAACTTAACAGAACCTGACATGATGAAATAGATTCGTGGCAGCTATAATGTAAGGAACTTACTAGATATGACGGTTGCATCGACCTGTGTTTTGAGTGATTTATTTACATTTCTGACTAACCTGAAGAGTCTGTAGATTTGTGACCAGAACATTTTGTGATTTCTGATGTTCCAACAAGCTTTTGTTTTCCTGCATTAGACGAACTTCTGACTCCTTCATCATGGCTTTCTCTGCTTTCAGATTTTCACAAGTGACCTGAAATTTAATGAGAAAACAGAATGCTCCATAAGGATCAGTAACCACCAGTTTTGGAAAATAATACTGTCACCTTTTACTACAAAGTATGGTACTTGTTTTAATTAACCACTAAAAGAAATTAATCATCTTTGCTCTATCACTTCATCATTATAAATTGTGTGATGCATTTAAGTTAAAGAATAATCAATATGCAGCATGTTGTAAGTGACTCCAGCCTGCTTCAGCAAGTTGCACTAACTTTTCACCTTCAATAAGAAGACATAATCTATGGTTTAAGCTGTACATGGGTGATGTTTTGTTGAGGTTTCCTACAGCTCTATGTATCTTATTCTCATAACTAGCAAACGACAATGTAAACAGGTCATAAAATTGTGACCTTTCACATTTGTGTGTAACTTTTCTAGGAAATAGGGCAAACACATACCTTTTTTACATGCTACATATAAGTAAAACAGGTAAGAAACAGACTAATGAACTTTTCAAAGAGCTCAACTGATCAACCAAATGGATCACTACACAGCTCATTAAAAATTGGGACAGTTCTGTGTACATTTTAGCCTAGAGTGTTAAAAATTGTTCTCTCACAACAAAATTACAACTAAGAAAAGAAACCCACCTCAAGTTTATTTAACTTTTCTTTAGTGTTTGTCAGTTCCTATTTAAAAAAGAAACAATACAAGAACAATGATGTCTAAGACACAAACCATTTCATGTACTCATCTAGAGTATGCATAGAAAAGTTTGAATAGCTTTTAAGGGAAGAGGCGCTTTTGTGCCTTTTTTATTCCCAAATCTTTAATTCCACTGTTGACAAACCATCTGATAAGTATTTTTTAATGAGTAATCTTCCACTTGTCCAGCTTTCCACAACAATTTCTTTAAAAACATTCAAAGATGTGACATACTGACACAACACGTTGCTAGATGCAGACTGAGGTGAAAATTCCTTGATCAAACTAACTAAACTGACCAAGTCTACCTTGATTTCAAGGCTTTTTCCTTCATTTTAACTTAAAAGTAAATGCAGCTAATATGCCTTTTTGTTAAAACAAAATGAAAAGGATCTGAAATAAAAATGGACCAATGGAGCTGTAATTAGTTCATAAACTACTGACAGTAACTGCAATAACTACAACTGGTTTATAAGCTATATAAATCTGTCTGAATTTTTCATGAAAGTTGTCTATTAAAAGGCACTTTTTAACTGATCTAAATCTTTGGTTACTCCTCTTAAACCTGGTATATTAACACACCTGTGACACACTGTCAAGAGTGGCTTGCAACTTGCTGAGTGCCGTCTGCAAGCTATGAGACTTCTCAGACGCAGCTGATGCTTCTTTCTTGAAAGCCTCAGAGTTTGACTTTAGCATTCCATAACGTTCCTCAGCAAACTCCAGCTGTGGCAAGAGAATGTAAAATTGTTAAGCTGGATTCATGAAATCATTGAATAAATGATAAAAATACCACACTATCTTCTTTCTTACCTCCTAGGTTGGTATAGACAAAATTTTCAGCTGTGACTTGAAGTTTTTTTTTTTTTGTATTATTATCATGAGAATTAACTGAAAGTGTAAACATTTGAAGACAAAGGCTTTTAAAAAGTTCATATTTCCTGAAAATATTGATGGAATACTTGTAACCAAGGGATACTTTCCTTCCAAAAAAGGTTGGCTAGAGATTAACAAAAAAATACATGAAATTTGTTCCCTGATCAACAGCAGTTTTTCTGAAACCTGTTAAACTCACAAGAAGGAAAGAAATTTATAAAACTCACCTGAGACTTCAATCTGGCATTACTTCCATTTAACTCAAGATTCTCAGCTTGCAATTTATCTCGCAGCTCATTCGATTTCCTTTAAAAAAAAAACACGTAAGACATTTCAGGAAAAAAAATTACATTTTAGAAAGAAAGTCTGAACTAGCTTTTTTCTTTCATGTTAAATTATAAGGAATGAAATGATCATCAGAGGTTAGCTGTCAAAGTGAGAATATTTTTCAGGCTTCCTTCTGTATTTTCTTTGACTGCAGCTCATTTGAAAGGATCACCTCATTACCTAATCAGAATCTATTACAGGAACAAAGAACCACTGAAAATTTCTATGCTCAAAATACACAGCCCAGATGGAAGTGGAGCCCAACTAGTATCTGTGATGCACAGATTGGAATCCTATCAAAATCTGAATTTTTCCAGGATTTATTCCCAAAAATATTTAAACAATGCAGCTCACCAACAACAATAATTTCCTTATTAGTAAAGATTTGATTGATGAATCAAAAAAAAAAGGAAAATATATCATAAATTTACAAGGATATTTTGTTTCAATGTAGTTAATGTATTTATAAACATTCAACCTTTTAAAACATCAAGAAGGAAAAATATCAATTAGGGGATTATTAATTGATCAAATACCCAATTCTCCAAACTAGCATCATAAGAACTGTATGGCAGACAGTATGAGAAATTATTACTTGAGGAGATCTTGTAAATAGTCTCACATGCTTTCTGAGCTTGCTCAGGAATAACACAGGGAAATGAGGACTACAAGTATGTGACATACACTGTATTAAAGGTGCCCAATTCATCTGTTATAATTATAGTAGCAGTCATTATTATATATGGTTTTGACCAGACATTACATACATCAGGACTGTAACTCTTCGAAAGGTATGGTTAAAAACTTACTCCTCAGCTTGCATTCTCTCACTTTTGTAAGTTTCAAAGTGTCTCTGTAGTTCTTTTAGAGCTACTTTAGTTTCCTCTAGTTCTGCACTTGATTTATCAGGGGTCTTGAGTAATGGAGAAGATACCAAAACAGATGGGTCAAGGTCTCCTGTAGGGATCTGAAATTCAGGAATAACATGGATTGTAAACTGATGGGAATTCAAAATTCAGAATACCAAATCTCAATGGAACAATTCAAAGAGTCAGTATTCCAATGCAAAACGTTTTAGGGGGTTAGGTAACAGTATTTAAGGAAATTAATTAATAATATGTAACCTGTTTACAGTCATATTCATGTCTGTGTTCCTTATTTCAACAAGAAAAAATTGGAAAACAGTCAAGGAGGATTAAAAATAGTTGCTCCTTACTGGAGTTTGTCCACTATTGGCTAACAGAACACGGTACATGTCACGTTGCCTGATCACAGCCTCAACCTGTTAAGGAGAACAAACCAAAAAATTAGATTGATGAGGAAACTGCGTGGTAATAGTGCTGACGATAGAGTTGGGAGATGGTGCATCAGCTTCTTGATATACAGTAGTAAATGTCATTAATACAAACCATATTCATTTGCCTCTCTCTTGATTCCTTAAGAACTTCAACTTCCTTCAATGACATGTCCAATTGATTCTGTAACCCCTTCATACTGATTAAAAGAGATTTAAATTTAGCACTTCATACAAAAACAATGCATTGTATATGACAAAATCAGAATCAAAACAGAGCAATACAAGAAGAGAAATATCCTTAAAAAATTTACATGTCATGCAACTCACATGTCTTCCCCTTCCTTCTTTTCTTTCTCTTCACTTAATTCCCTGATAACTCCCAGAAGTTTCTGATTTTGCTGTTGAAGTTCCTCTATACTCCTGTCAGAGATTAAATGACGATATTAGAAGAAGGGAATGATGGCAACATATATATGTGCTGAACCTTTACACCCTAATATCAGTATCCATATTCTCTATACTCCTTTCTACCCACTTCCTTTAGTACTGACAAGGAGAATTTGCTAAACAATCAAAGCTCCATGGTTGGTGATTATTTCTTTTATTCTCATGATCTTAATGAGTTATTCAGCAGTTTTACCATAAGGAGAAATTAAATGCTGGTCACTCATAGGGTTTAAGAGGTTAAACATTTACAATACTGCCACTGATGTTGGGGAAAGAGCCACTATCAGATACTACTGTACCTGGCACTGTGCAATTTTTATTTGTCAGTTTGTTTGGATGTGGGCACCACAACATTATCAAGGAACTGGATATATCACCTGATCACAATCCTACAATTGTTTTCCAATCTGGAGAATTCTATCTCATGAAATTTGACAAGAACTATTGTGAGGATTTATAAATTCAAAATATTGTTGAGACTTTAGCTTGCTTACCTGAAAGTAACAAGGTGTTCAGAGATGACTTGTGATGAGCTGGTGACCTCAG